AGATTTTAAGATGGAAACCTTAAAGATTTTTTGCAATTGCATAAAAAGCCAATAAGGAGCAGCAGCTAAAGGTTAATAACTTGCAAGGTTATTCAGTTTGGTCAGGTTGCATATATTTGCACCAAATACCGCTATGAACGCTGCAATCATTTAGATGTTAAAAATCAATTTCATATGAAATATGCGTTGGTCTTTAGTAGCATACTTAATTAAATATGCGCTTTTTACTCACAGTTATTGTATGTACTTTAAAGTTAAAGGGTTTGCATTGTTCCAATACAGAAAAAAAAACACCCAAGGTTTTATTATGTCGTATTTTGTAACACAATATTTCAGTACAGCAAAACTATTTTTTTTTTGAAAAAGCTCTTTGAATTCATACCAATATTGAACAGCTTGTTAAATAAATGTTGTTCAAAAGTCGTACAAATAAATTATTATAATAGATTATAAAATATAACATCTTTATGTCTTCTAGCTATTGTCATTTGACTGCAGTTATTCTATAAAGACCCTTAGGTCATTTGTTTCAAATTATGACGTACACAATCAAAAATCTTTTCTATATGCAGATATGAAGGACTGAGGTTGCTAACTACATTATCTTGTCATTTATTGCCTGAATTATTCATTAAATATGAACATTTTCAATTTTTCCCCAGGTCTTGTGATTTGCATCTCATTATCATACCAATATTTTATATAATTGCTTATGATGCAAATAGTACAGTTTTCTCTGCATGATATTTGGACATGTAAACCATAAATTATGCAAATTCATATTACATGAATTACGACGATGAACGTTTTTAAATTAGTATACATTGGTTAGATATTTCAAGATAGAATGAAATTATTGAATAAAAAAACCGTACAAAACGTTCACAGACATTCTGGATGTGTCTAGCAATTGAGCAATAAAATTAAATAAAGTGAGATTGATAGTTTCTGAACAAATGTTCTCCTTATAAGTTTAAAAGTGTTCCAAATTTTAACTGTTTAAATATAACATTTAATCTTTGTCTCATTGAGTAGTTTATTATTGTCACGATTTAGAACAAACTTATTAGGAATATTTCATCAACATAAATTAAACACCCTATCCTTATATTCACCTCCATGTTTATTTCTATGAAAATAACAATGAAGTATCATTTCAAAAATTCAGTTTTAAGCATGTTTAAAAAATTAAATGATTCACTAAATTCATTAAAAATTATCAGTTATACTTGTTCCCATCTTCAAAATGATGTTAAAATTTTCATATGTTTGTTGAAGACAAGATGAAAATATTGAGTGCCAGAGGCCTTTCTTATTTCTTAATGAACAACATAAAATGGCAGGATATGATATTATTGGCACGTGAAACAGCTTACTTTAACCCATTACTTCATGAGCATTTTGTGAAAAATGGCTGTTTTCATTGAAAAGTCTCCCGTTACAAGTTCAAATTGCTATAATACTATAAAAAATGCTTCAACACTAATCAAACTTGGCACAAATGTTGACTGGACCATTGCCCTTGCAACAACATGCTCAGGCTTAAATTTTCTGTTACCATGGCAACGAGGGGACATCTCAAAATTGCCAAAAATCACTATTTTGCGTTGATTTTTTCCATCAAAATTGATTTCAAAGTGCTGCAACTTCTCAATGGATTGAGATAGAGTCAAATGCTTTTCAGCGTTGGTTACACGTTACCTTATGATCAATCTGGGGTCATTTACAGCCTCTCACAAGTCCAAAATTTTCTTGGCGAAATTTTTTTTTTCGTTCACATGTTTTACATTTTACCACATATGTATATCGGACTTCGAGATTATAAAGACATTGCATGTCATCGAGTACATCTTGCCTAAAAGGTCAAACAGTACTAACGAAAGTAATCACGTGCATATAACATACCACTCCTGAGAAGTGTAACAAAGTTTTTCTACCATTTTAGAAGCAGTAATAAATCACACCAATCCGTTTTCTATTATCATAACTTTAGAATCATGCTCATCCTTTGTGATTGAACTTGTATTTATCTATCATTAAATGTCAGTTCTTCAACAGATTGGAAGTCTTCGGTATGCATTAGCTTAAAGTTATAGAAATGATAAAAACATTTCCGAAGGCTTGTTGTTTTTTTCTTCGTTTGACAATAAAATGCCAAGACATCAAACGTAGGGCATTTTCTAAATTCAAAATTTCACCACTTTCGTAATAAAATGTTGAATTTCACTTAATCCGGTCTTAGGCGTTGTTGACGGTGGCTTTCACTTACTACTATGGTAATCTACCCATCTCAAAAAATCAAAATCAAAGCTCAATCACACTGAGGCTATAACATTTTCAATTTTACTGTTTTGCGCGTTCTTTAGGGATTCCATTTTCTCTTTTTGATCTTTTAAAATGTTTAATTTGTAAATTTAACGGACTTTTGCAAAAACACAAAAAAACTTCAACGTAAAGTATTTTGTATTATGAAAATGATGTTCAAGATTATTTAAGCTTTACAAAACATGTGATGATGAATAAAAAAGGCTAATCAGAAACCTTTCTTATCTCATAACATATAACAAGAAGCGCCGCAATGCGACGAAAACCAGGTTTTCAACGACCAAGTTTTGATGTGACAGCAATCAATAGGTCAAAGTGCACTGAAGTTATTGAGTAGAAGCTGAAAATTCTATTGTAGGCAAATGACCTTGACCTTGCCCCCAGATATCTAAGTGGCAATCCAAAGCTACCACACAGCAAGTTTGGTGTCAAAAGGTCAAAGCAAACTCAAGTTATTACATGAAAAATGAATACATTAACCTTGATCACAGACACCTGGGTAGCAATCCAAAGCTGCCTCTTGATATAAGCTACCCATTCATCAAGTTTGGTGTCAATAGACCAAAGCAAACTCAAGTTATTGAGCATAAACTGAATTTCTATTTTTAGTATCAGTGACCTTGACCACTGACATCTGGGTAGCAATCCCAAGATGCCTTTTGATATAACCTACCCATATACCACGTTTGGTGTCAATAGGCCAAAGCAAACTCAAGTTATTGAGCTGAAACTGAATTTCTATTTTTAGTAACAGTGACTTTGACCCTGGGGCCGTATTCACAACTGATCTTAAGTTATTTCTTAAGTTAAAACATAAGTTGAAAAAAAAATCTTAGCTAAGAAAATTTTTTATCTTAAGATTAAGTCGTATTCTGAAAATGACTTAAGAAAAACTTAGCTGAGATTATTCTTAAGATTGAGAAATATCTTAAGTAATAAATATTTTACTTAAGAAAATTCTTAAGTCGGTTGCTAATGAAAGAGGGGTTTTCCGTTACTAAAAATAGTAACGGAAGTGCTCTTCAATGTCTAAAATTAGAACCGGGTGTTTATAGCTGTCAAATCCAGCTGAAAACATGTCAAAGTACCATATAAAACTAAAAGATGTAGATTATATGGAAGGGATGGCAACATGAATTATAAAATGAAAATCTATATCTAAGTATAAAACTATATTAAGTTTTATAGCCTAAAATGGGAATCAATTTGGGGGAAATGGATACTCCATTTATGTTATTTGTCAAGGCCATGGCCTATGTATTGGCAAAACTCAATAGCACATATGAGCCGCGTCACGCCAAAACCAATATAATGGGTTTGCGACCAGCATGGCTCCAGACCAGCCTGCGCATCCACACAGTCTGGTCTGGATCTGTGCTGTTCGCTTACAAACCCTATTTCAAGTAGAGAAACTGGTAGCGAACAGCATGGATCCTGATCAGACTGTGCGGATGCGCAGACTGGTTTGGATCCAAGCTGGTCGCAAACGCATAACGTTGGTTTTGTCGTGACGCGGCTCATATAAGATGACTGAACTTGATGGGTTAGGCTAGCCATTATATAGGATAAAAAAATTAAATAATGGAGAGGGAGGAAGTGACTTGCTTAAATTTGTATAAATAAGTGTATGAAGCCCATGGTAAAGATGCATGGAAAGTTAAACCTAGTACAGACAGATGGCTAAAATTTCATTTTTTTTCATTGAAATGTTGCGATAAAAGTTCTTTTAAAATAATACAAAAAGAAGGCATTTAAATTACATGTCATGCTTTTCAGCTATTCTGCTTCTAAATGATAAATCATCTAGTGTGTAAACAAGACACAGGTTGTTTTATTTTATTATTTATTTCTTTTTGATTGCATTATCAAATGTAAAACTTTACATGAACAGTTTTTTTTAAATCACACATACATGTTAGAAGAAAATACATATTTCAGAAGCTGTGACCAAGTATATAGCCAATGCTTTCTATTTTTGACATTATGATAGTGCTTGCACTGCAGATTAATGTTTTTAGACATACTGAAAGCTGCCGGCATAGTAGTTTAGAACATTAAGAGGTTTACAAACTTATATCTCCAGTTCTGCAGTTTTGACTGTTCTAATTATACAGAAAATTTCATTCAAATGCTCACAAATTCCAAACAATTTTCATGAATAGTTCAAGGATAGCAAAGAAAAACAAGTAAGACTGAGCTGTCAGAAGAGCAGTGCACTCCAGTTTTCTCAGAGCTTATCTGGATAGTAAACTTCATATTTTCTACAAAAATAGATAATTTGAATAAAATCACATCGACCTTAACTTTGACTAAGCAGGCTGTGCCCACATTTCAATATGTGTTCTTGACCTTAAAAATCTTATTAAAAATATCAACACAGGTCATTGATAACCACCACCATGACCTTTTGACACAAAATGAGTATCATGGCAGGTACAACTCATCATGGTTAAATCTGGTACATACAATTTGTCAAAGTCTGATTTTCTCAGTAAATGCCTATTAAATGGCTAGTTTTATGTTTGGTTACCACAAGTCAGTGACTTTGACCTTTTAACCTGAAAATGAGGGGTTCAGGTTAAACTCATCAAGGTTCATCCACATATAAAGTTTTGATGTAATAGATTTGTAAGTACATGTATTGTATAATGAAAATCAACAACACCAACAGGTCAGTCATACCGAATGAATATAACATTCATTTTTTCTTCTATAAAAAGTGGTGCTGATAATCTTAATGAAAACAATTACTAGGAAATGTTAATTCTGATCTTAATTCACACAGTTCTTTTTCCATGAATGAAATTTTCTTTCATAGTTATCCTTTTGATAGTCTTCAAGTTTCTCACAAGTTAGAATGTTCATGTGTTTTTCGATGAAAACATTGGACCAATTCCTCTTGCATATTATGAACACAATCGGCTTGATAGATTTTACATTTTATCACACATTTTTTATCACACAAGAAATTTGATAATGACATGTCCTGCATAAAAGTTAGTAACAATAAGGCTCCTTGATGATGTACCCAGGTATGAATCTTTTGGATTACTAGTGGTCTTCTAGAGTTTGATTCCTCTGATGTGTTCCAGTGTTTATGAACACAGTAACTGTTAAGTCTTCATTGTTCCTATGTGTTTTTCATGTATTTAGTGTCCATGATTTAAAGCTGCAACAGGTGATATTTGATGTTATATGCCATGAGCTGTCAGATAGAAAATCTGATACATTATGGAAGTATATAGTCACTACACATTAATCCCGATTCATTCTCCATGTATTTGGTCAAGGAAGTAATGCTATGTTCAGCAGCATTATAAATTATGTAACATGTTGCTACTATGTTGATATCTTTATTCTCCATACTACTGTCAGTCTGGATGACTACAAAATCCGAGGTTAATGAATAGTGTGATATCATCTGAAAATATAAAAAAAAAAATCTTTTTAAGAAAATAAAGGTACATAAATCAACAAAAGCTGTCAAAGGCGACAGCGAAGCTCGACTAATAAAATACTAGACACAGTACGCAACACAAAACTATGAAAAAAAATCAAGTATGTATAATTATTATTATGTATTAAGTTATAGTAAAAAAATAATATTTGTTAACATAAATTCCATGTTCAAGGGGGAATAATTCTGGAAATAGTCATGCTAGAGTTATGAAACTTGTCACACAACATGTGTGTAATGATATTTGAAGTTTAAAGTAGATACCTTAAAAGTAAAGAAGTATTTCTTAAGGTAATTCCTAAGTTCAAAGAGAGATTAATCTGACAATATTGCGTCAATAGTTATGAACCTTGTACCATAAGATGTAATTGATGATAATGAATAAGTATTTGAAGTTTGAGGTAGATATCTTTAAAACTGAAGAAGTTATAGAAAAAACTACATTTTTCAAGTAAAAAAATCTTAGTTATGGGGAGATAATTCTTGCAATATTGGTGCTGGAGTTATGAACCTTGTCATATAACATGTGGTTAATGATAAGGAACATATATTTGAAGTATGAACTTGATCCCTTAGTAAGAAATAAATAAGTAACAGTAACAATTAGTATTTTTAAGGGAAATTCTAAGTTCAAGGGGAGATACATCTGAAAATATTGTGCTAGAGTTATGAACCTTGCCACATAAGATGAGGTTGATGAAAAGTAACATATATTTGAAGTTTGAAGTTGATACCTTAAGAAAATGAAAAAGTTATAGTGAAAAATATTTTACTAAACCAAAACTTTAACCTGAAATCTGAATTCTGCAATAATCCATGCTAGAGTAAAGTTATGGACCTTGGATGGTGATCAATTTTAATCCTGAATATTAAGTTTTAAGTGACTACCTCAGTAGTTTTGAAGATTGAGGTAGCATCAGGAACTTCTTGTTCAAAAAGGGTTATAATTCTGGCAAAATCCATGCTAGAGTTATGAGCCTTGGATAATAATCACCAATTACATGTATGATCCAAAAAATATGTGTTAAGTTTAAATTGAATAATTTAATGTTGATGGTGCATGCAAAACTTTAACAGGGTGTCTGTTAGACCCCTCAAATTTCCAAAGGCCTGATTTGACCCTCAGGATTTTAACTGGAGGGTCAAATTTTGTTAAAATCATAGGGATTTGACCCTGCTTTAAACAAACTGATGGCTGATACCCTAGTGTCAGTAAGCTTACAATGTCTAAATTTTTTCAAACCTTTCTTTAGGTAGACTATATATTGAGATTTGACCAACATAATAATACTCATTGAGCTTTTTCATTCCATCATAAATCTTTTTTTTTTTCTTTGAATTCCTTGTGATAGATTGGGCTGCTTTTGTGTTTTTGCTTTTTATGACTGTCAACCTGCTTCCTATTCTATGTATTTAAGCAACAAGAACCTTTTAGTAAAAGATGGGTTAAAGAAAAACAAAAAAAAACATTTCTATGCATTGTTTTCATTTGACAGACAGCTTACATGTCTGTCAAAAATTAAGCTTTTGTGCACACAAGTTGATATAATCCAGGGCGCTTCTAGTGAAAAATAAACAGCTCATGAATGAATTTTTGAGATTGGATTGGGTGTGTGATAAGAATTAAGAGTAATGCCTAAATATGAGGCAGGAGTATTTGAAGGGGTGTTTGGAAGATTCATGAAAACTATTCATTTTATTGTTGTTTGATCTCAGAGATACTAAGAAAAGATAACTATTTGAAGTAAAAATACTTAAAAAATTATATAACATAGATGTCACAAAGCATCATTTATAAAGCAAACCCTGGCGCACAATATGTTAGGCTATAATGAGTGACTAAATTTGAAACAAGATGAAACGCACAGGTCTGTTTTTCATGACTGCACAAGAACACTACTGTATAATTGACCTTAAAGTCTGTGGGTCAATATCCAGCAGTAGTTACATGTAGATCATGACAAAGTATTTTTAATAATTAAAACTTGTAAATAACATGTACAGAATTTCCATTGGCTAACGAAAACACTTCAATTAAAGGTGAAATTATTTCTGATAGATAACAGTGTTTTTTTCTTTATATAAGTTATAACTACTACTCAAAAAAGGTACTGTTCCCAATGGTAAAAAGACTTAATGATCAACATTATTTTTTGTCCAATCACATTGTAGTATTTTTCAAATTTCTGCTTTGTCTAACTTTAGTTAATGTGTACTAACTAAATAAAATTCACTTAATCTGTCGTCTAACCGCAGTCTAACAAATTTCAATAATGCATTATATTAGGGAGGAGTTAGAGGTATGGTTTACACTCTGATTTGTAAAATGTCAAAGTTAGCAAAACAATGCCAACATAAAAAAAATTAGTCGAGGTCAGGTGTTTCTAAATGCGAGGATACAATCAACTGATTTATTACATAGATAATACATGTTGGGTACGCAGAGACAAATGATTGCATATTAACTTTTTTATATCCTTTGAACTCTAAGAAAAATGACTGTTATAAATTGCTGACTGTTTTAAACTTTATATTTTATAGAAAAAGTAACCAAAACATTATTTTCTTTCACTTGATAGGAATAAACTGCATTAACAATCATTGATATCAAGAATACAATGATTACATTTTTTTGGCTGGAAAACTCATTGAAAATGGACCCCCTTCACACAGAAAAAAAATGAACTGTTTTTCAAATGAGCAAATCAATAGGGATTTTAAATGTAGTGATTAAACTTGAAGCTAATAACGAAATTGTATCAATAAATAATCTCTAATGTATTTTTTTCTCACATTTTCCATTTATTTTAAAAGGATGTACACATTTCATTAACTCCATTGTTTTTACCTAATTGCAACGTTTTCCTCACTGTTTTTTCCAAATATATTATAAACATGATAGTCTTACTGTAGATAAAGGTATAAATTCTGTGACATTTCAGTAAAAAATGTGCCTGGGCCATTTATTTAGCTTATCTAAATGTGACATGTTAGCAACTTGACAAGGTGTAGACATGTTGTAGAGCGAAAGGGCGGAGCTATAGGTAATTTAGAGAAATGCCTTGTTGTTAGTTGAAAAAAATAATGTTGATCATTAAATAGGTTAATGTTTAATAATATGCATTACAAAAATAATTGGTCGCCTGCCTGCGGCAGGCTTGACCAATTATTTTTGTTAATGCATATTATTAAACACTAACCTATACATAAAAATTCCCAAATTCTAATGAGAAAATTCTCAAAATGACTGTTCAAAATTCCAGCAGGCCATGATATTTCTCTAAAATGATTATATTTATATTAATTACCACTCAATAGTTCTACCTGGACACTGGATGATGTTAACTGTCTTTATTCATTATGGCTAATCTTATTTGTAGCTGAAAAGATGCTTAATAAAATTTGAGTCAAAATAACAGTCTGGTACCGGCACCAATAACCAAAGCAGAGAGAAAAAACCTGCTGGATCTATCCGATATCTTGTCATCATGATAATATAATGGCCGAACATCATCGGTAATATTATTTAAAAAAAATATGTATGTTCATTCTGTGTGAAAATGTAATAACTTATAAGACCTGCAAATTACTGACTTCATCATTGCATTTATATATTATTGAAAAACAACTGTACCGCTAGCCACAACAGTGTGTATTGGCTAGATATATGTGACTCACATACAGCTAGAACTTCTGGCACCCAGTACGGGCGCGTATGGTAGCACTCTTGCTAAATACAAAGAACATTTTATTGGAATATTTCACAAATAAATGGTTACCAAAAAAAACATTTCGTCTTTTCATTTATTTATTTTAATAACCTAAAGGATGTTTAAAAGGATCATTCTAAGGTAGGACGAATCGTCTCTAATCTGAAGTGAACCATCAAAAAAGTGGGGCGAAACGTTCTTGGGCGAATCATCAGTGGGGCAAATCATAATCAATTCAGCATGTGTCAGGTTTTCAATAAACACATCGGTAATACGGAACATTATCAATTTGCATATGTAAATTATTCAATTAAAATTATCCGCTAAGCATTGCAAGCTTGTGATAGCCATAAGTCATTCTCGCGAAAACCAGTGACATTCCAAATAAACACTCGTAAGCGTTTAGCGGTTATGTTTTTCTCAAAGAACAACACACAAACCGACATTTTACATTTTTCTGTGCACAAATATTTTCTTTACAAGTACTTACCAGCGAGAAACTGACGATCATACTCCGGTTTATGAAATGAGCGTCTCCTTTGCGTCTTCAATTTTTGCCGATTTAACTCCCTTGTTTTACTCACACTTATCGTGTGTATAAATTACTTTGAACTTAATCATTATTGCTGTAATTATTGGCGTTGAATATCTCAATGATATATCTAATACTAGTAAAAAACGCAAGTTTTCAATCGAATCGACGATTTACCGTCCGCCATTTTTAAGATGATTTACTGCCAAGTTAAGAAATTTCTTAACTTTAAGATAGGGTAGTAGCTGACTTATATTTAAGACAAAAATTGTCCATCTTAAGACAAAACTTAAGATAAAAAACAGTTGTGAATACCACTTAAGTAAATTGCGGATTCTTATCTTAAATCTAAGAAAATTTCTCACAATATAAGAAAAATCTTATATTTAAGTCAAAAAATTAACTTAAGATCAGTTGTGAATACGGCCCCTGGGTAGCAATCCCAAGCTGCATCTTGATATTAGCTATCCTTACACCAAGTTTGGTGTCTATAGGCCAAAGAAAACTCAAGTTATTGAGCTGAAACTGAATTTCTATTTTAGTAACAGTGACCTTGACCTTAATCACGGACACCTGAGTAGCAATCCCAAGCTGCCTCTTGATATAAGCTACCTACACACAATGTTTAGTGTCAATAGGCCAAAGCAAACTCAAGTTATTGAGTGGAAACTGAATTTCTATTTTTAGAAACAGTGACCTTGACCTTGATCACAGACACCTGGGTAGCAATCCCAAGCTGCCTCTTGATATAAGCTATCCATACACCAAGTTTGGTGTCAATAGGCCAAAGCAAACTCAAGTTATTGAGCGGAAACTAAATTTCGTTTTTAATAACAGTGACCTTGACCTTGATCACAGACACCTGGGTAGCAATCCCAAGCTGCCTCTTGATATAAGCTACCTACACACCAAGATTGGTGTCAATAGGCCAAAGCAAACTAAAGTTATTCTACAGGTATATGAAAACACTCACTTCATGCCAAAGTTCAAAAAACAAGGTCCTTGTAATAAACTGCAACTAAAAATAGAACAATTACAGGTTACGAAGAAAATTATGCGCTGCCGGTGAATGAGAATACACAATAAGTAACAAAACACATTATACAAAATGCATACAAATTCATCACAAAGTCAGTACATGTGAAGTTATAAAAAAGTTATAAAAAAATAACTACATGTTCATCGACAAAAAACACAAAATAAGATATTGATATATTTCAGTGCACGATTTGTACCCATTTGTATTTTTTGCGGACGAAGTCCGTCTGTTAACAGTTTGACATCCTGTTAAATTTAAAGGAAAGGACTAAATATCAGAAAAGTTGTCATTGATTATTTTCAAATTACCAATTGAAATCGGTAAATTACACTGGTCACTCTAATAAATATAAAGGACAGTTCTAACCATTCTAAAATAAAATGTAAAGGATAGGTCTTACCATTAAAAAATAAAGTTTTAAGGAAAGCTCTGTGATAAACTGTAAGGGATAGTTTTACCACTATAAAATAATAAATTTAAAGGATTGTTCTAAATTACACGTTTATCTGCAAGAGGAGATCACTATGTATGCCCCCGTATATATGAGCGAAAAACATGATTTGTTCATACTATGATACATTTAGTTTTTACAGACATTTGTGCCAGTAAAAATATTTAAATGTATTTTAAAACCTTTTCCTATTTGATCAGCAGTATTTATTTACTCTATGTCTGCAAAATGAAAAGGTCAGCATGCGTACACGTTTAATATCCTACACTCCTTTTGATACTTAAAAGCCTATCATACTTAAATCAAATAGTTCATACTAGATTCTTCAGAATATATTTATAGCAAATAAAAGTACAAGTTAAAACTTAAATGCATGAACTTCTTCTTTAAAGAAACAAATAAAACAAAACACAATTTCCTGAATTTTGTGTTAAAGAATAAATTCGTGTATACAATTGTTCATGTTGACTTAATAACCAACGGGAGATATTTAATTCTTAAATGTATCTAGTGAAATTTAATATTTGGGTTCAAACGTAAATAATACTGTACGTGTAGGTAAATATATAAGACGCTATACAAACAATGTTAGACTAAAAATGTTGATGTAGATGTAATAACACGTCTATCCATTTATTATATAACAACAATATTGTATTTGGATATAATTTTCTTGGTATAATACATTTGTCCCAAAATAATAATATATGGATCATTTTTAACACAGTTATGTTTTAATTCACCAGAGTAATACATTCATATCTCAACTGAAAGTTGTTCTAAATAATACAAAATGAATCTGCATCACAAATGAACACCTTTATATTCAACATAAATGAATCAACATTTCAAATGAAAAATATTACAAGGAATACAAATAATGATTATACATCTCATTTCTTTTAAGTAATACGAATAATGAACCTATATATCAAATAAATTTCTAGAAATTTGCTAATTGTTCAATTTACAATAAATATTAACCACGCCAAAGTGGCATTACGCCTATTCAAGAATATACAGTGAGTGAGCAGGTGAGTGTCAAAATACGTTTACAATTTCCTTTAGTTCATTTAAATGTTATACATTTACTTTGAATAAAGGATAAATAACTCGGGTGGCCCAAGGAAATGTCTATAAATACCCATAACGTTCAATGTATAAAAAGTATGGGGCAGTCTGTTTACGTTCTAGGCAGATTTATACTTTACCCTAATCATTGTACACTATCAATTGTAATTAAAAGTCAATTTTTTTTTTGAAATACAAATTGGCATCAACTCAACATTACAATGAAACAATGAGCATAATATTTCAGTTCATTTTAAATGTCAAAAAATACTTTTCAGACAGTGTAAAAAACTGTTCACACATTCCAGCAGAGAAGATCTGTCTTCATTAAAGTACAAATAAATGACAAATAGGCAAGAAATTATCTAGTAAATTCGTAAACATCATAGTAATAAAATTCAAATACATTAAACCTTAAATCTAAGTTTCTATTACGAACTGAAAGTTTTCTATCGAACCTTGCATACAAATGTCAGTTACAAAGATGCAAATATGCATGAAAGGATTTCCCGCAGTTGCACAAGTTTGTCAACATTATTTTAGAAAAATACGATAGAGAGAGCTAGTTTAGAAGAAGTAACCTTATTCAGCTTCATATCTCCAGATAAAACAAACTATTTCAAGAAAATCAAACTTGAGCAAATTGTTCTAAGATTTTTATATACTTATATATACGATTATAGTATTAATAATAATTGTACACCTGTTTCTTTGTATAAGAAAAGTTACTCTATTGTTGATATAAATTGGTTTTGGTGATATTTGATGACCAAGGATGAAATAACCATTTAAACATTTTGTATCGAAAATCATATGTTTCTTTTTTTCGTTTTTTACTCTTTTGTGAATATTAATACATTTTGGTGATTTTGTGATCATGACCATTTCACAATTTTGTTTGAACAATGATATATTGCTACGTTAACTCGTATCTTATCTGCAATTCAAGATAGCTTTTGACATTTCTAAATCGTGACAGATATGTAGAAAAAGAGGTTATTTAAAACTGTTTCACAATGATCCATTTTCATCACAATTACTTAGTCTCATTACATAATCATTTTCCTACAAAATCTCATTGTTTAACAAAACAGTTTTTTTTAGACTAAATACATAATATACTTAAGATAAAAGTTTTCACATTAGGTACATGAAATATATAACACACTTTATACAATAACCAAGTTGTTTCATGTTTATTTCAATTTCATAAAAGATCAGCAAGTTTTAACTTTTCCTAACGAAAATAAATTCTGGACGGATTCTAAAATACAGTTAAGGATTACAAGTCTATACAATAAATGATGTTTTAATGCATTTCTTGTATACAGTTCTTTCGATTAAAAAACCCTACTTATTATGTCAAATGTCTCTAGAATAATTCATGACATGTTGATGAGCATCTTACATTTTTTCTTCAGGTCTGTAAATTTACATCTACGAATTATCTCGGTCTATAATTATATATAACTAATTGTTTCAATCTGACTAGAAAGCTCAGATCTACTTATTTCTTTTTATGTAGATCTGATGACAACCGGATATGTTTCGCTCTCTTTATGATTCGAATTTCCCGAGAAAGCTATTTTCAGCCATGCAATCAAACCGATTTTTACAAAGCATAAGGAGAAGTATCAAAATATCGTTATTCAAACTGTTGGTTTTTGATGAAAGCTCGCCGATGATTAGTTGTGCGAAAGGTCACCAGAAATGACATCGTATTTGGTAACGGTCAGATCTAAAGGCTGAGCGTTATTTAGAGCTGATTTTAATCAGATTGATAATTGTTAACGATGTAAATGTTACAGTTTTCTCTGCATGATATTAACACATGCAAATCACATTTTATACAAGTCATTTTATAGGAAACACGTCAGTGAACGTTTTAAAATAAGTGTAAATTGGTTTGAAATTTTGAGACAGATTAATATAATTGGACAAAAATATAATAATTACTAATTATATAGTGGGAAATTATCAGAGCAAGGATCTGTGTGTGTCCAGCAATTAAGCACCAAAATCTAATTATATTATTCCTAAAAAAATGTACTCGTCTTCTTCTCTTTTTTTAAAAAGTTTTCAAATTATATTTTTTACTTTTTTAAAATAAAACACAGTCTTTTTCTTTTTCTGTATTTTAGAACTGACTTGGAAACTACTCGTATACAGGACAGGACATTAAAAATAAAGAAAAATGCTTTCGAGGAAAAACATTTTGTACATAAAGGGCCTGTTAATGGTGTTAAATCTCAAAAGGATATTAAGTTATACCTATCAACTAAATGAAGTTCAAGGTTATTTACAGCTAAATAAAATATAGTTTTGTTGAAGCGAAGAGGAAAAACCGAGTGCTTGAAGCCTTTCTTATCTCAGAGAACGCAGAACATAAAATGACCTGATATTTAATGCAACAGACTTCAATTCAAAGAACAAGTTTTATATAAAAAACTGAGGCTAAAAATAGAAAACGACAACGCGTAATATTGTTTTTCTAATAAATGAGTTTATTTCTAATTACTTACTTTCATATAATACTTGAATATAAGTGTATATAAACCCAATGTCAAAAAGATGACAAAACTTGTCCTAAATCGTCGCTGAATGCAAAAACACAAATGCATTGCTTTGATTATTTAATAAATTTCACTTTGACTGAATAATTTTCGAAAAAGACAAACAAATATCTGTAAAATATAAACAATATTAAAGTGCAGACCATTGATTTTTGATGATGTTTTACGTATTCAGAAACCTAACACGTACTTCATGAGCGTTTTGGTATTTCTAAGAAAGGTTTAAAACCACCTGAACTGCTGGGGCTAAGACATGCAAAGACTCGTGTATAACATTTAAGAGAAATCGCATT